CGCATCTGTTTGGAGGTCACGTGCTCAAATCTTCTGAAATGGCCACATCTTTGCTTTCGGAAAATTATTCGCAAAGTTGTCTGTCCGATGAAGAAATTCAAAAAACCAACTCATTATAAATTTCAGTAGATTAACACAAATCTTCTAAATCACTGCTCAAGATCAATATTTGTAAGTGCGGTTGAACTTGTGAATGCCCGCAAAAAGGCTAAGCGCCACCTGGAATTTCGCTTNCTTAGAAATGCATGTATTTATATCGGTGGTCAAGTGGTAAGACAGCCCAAATAACCATTTGGGGATCTTGAGTTCGAGGATTACTACCGCTATCCATCTGTATTTATTCAGGCAGGCTTTGTGCCCGCGACCCTATTCCTGAAAGTTTGTATTGGACATATCTATAGTCAATTAACAAGAAAAAAGATTAAAAACATTACTATTTATTCTTTTAAACTGATTCCGCAGGTGGTTTTCCCGCACACTCCTGTGTAGATCCAATTCATCGACCCATATGAATGAACTGACTGTCAATGAGAATGACTTGTGACCAAACTTGGATTTGAAATTCCTTTTAGAACTAATGTTTTGCGAATAGGTTACCTCGACGGGATAGCCTGTCCATATCAATACCACTGGTCCCACATCATTGTTCATAAGTGACAGTGTGTTGCATGCAACCTGCTCTCATTTGTGGATGATAGCGTGACCAGCGAAATCAAATAGACATGGATAAGTGAATCATGGTGATGATGCTGGGGGTGGGGTTGACAGTGACAGGAGGTCTGGGAATCGAACGAATCCAAAGTTCGAGTAGTTTTCCACTTTATGGAGCACCATTCGTTCCGTACAAGTTGTGAGATATCTAACCTGAAGATGACGCATTTGATTGAAAAGTGTAAGGTCCACAGGAAGAAAGCGTATGTCGCACGCACATTCAATCGAACCGGCACTGAGCGTTTTTTATACTGAGCTACGGTTCAAAAAGACTTGTTCAAAACCAAGTCAAATAAATAGCGTGGTTAAATATCTCGCGGTGTTGTAATCCAAGGTGAACGAAAAAATCATGCATACACCCACACTATTGAGCAAACCTGTGCAGATCAAAGGATGGGTTCACTCAACCTTGAAGGACAATGATGGTTTAAATCAGATTACAGACATTGACACATGCGTTAGTGATATTTTCTAATCGAAACCGAGGCTTGTACGTTTTGGGACAATGCAGTTGTCTGTCTGCGTCGATCCATCTATTTGCGGTTAATGAACAGGAATACAAATTGCGTGAAAGACGGTATATGTGATCAGTGGCTCAACTGTGTGTGTGTGTGTGTGTGCAACTGACTGCGCGCGGATGGTCCCCGTGGTATGCTTGGTCTTCTCCTTTCATTCTGGTTCTCGCGACATGGAACACATGTGCACGATGCCCTGTTGTTTGTACGGTTGATACAGTCTGTTCGAAATGAAAAGGATTACGCTCTGTTTCTTATTGCGTTTCAGTCACGTGTACCCGGATCAGGGGAATCGGAGGAGCAATACCATTGATCTATACATGCACATACAATACTGGGCGGTGGTGGCCCGGGGATGTGTTCGAATTCCACCGCTATCACCTAACTTCCCCCATTGTGTGTTCAATGGCAGCCCTTTGATTGACCGCTTCCCTCTTCCTGATAATTGTATGATTGTATATTCGATAAAAGGAAGTAAAAATGAAAAAGGAATTATCAAATTCTCAAGTCGCGTTTATCGTTTGTGCTCGAACTTTGACCATCCATGATCGATCCCTCTATTTGACAGTAATGTCATGGCCGAAATAATACCGATCTGACGAAATACACTGAAAATCAATTGTCCGGAAATTGTAACGCTTAACCCCTCGGCTAGTGTTACGGACTGGGAGTTTTGAATCAACTCAAATCTTCTTCCTTCAAAGAGCCTCGTCAATCTGATTGACTCACCTACTTGATCTGCGTTGTGCTAGAGGAACATTCTATTCTGATAACATGTTTGGGATGACGTAATGATTGTAGTAGTAGTAGTTGTAGTAGTAGTAGTAGTAGTAATAGTAGTAGTAGTAGTAGTAGTAATATGCACGGAACTGGAAACACGGACCACGTAATACGAATCACGGAACACGAATCAAGGATTAGCTATCTCGGACTAGATCACGAAAGCACTGGACCGCAATGGCGCTAGCACGCAATATCCCACGTGACTGAGACGCGAGGAAAAGGCCACAGGAATGGTAGTTCGCTTATTGGAATAAATGAGGGCGAATAAATAATATGTACAAAGAAGATCATTGGTTATCCAGGCTTCCACCAATCGTATTCCAGTAATGCTTCTGTCTTGACTGCGCCGTCTCGGATTGAATGGCATCTCCGGGATAGTTCGCATTGGAATATTCGAACACCGACGTTTCTCAGTTATTGATAGACGGTCCTCGGAAGTTAATATCGGTATATGGTATATGACTGCCCAGTAATTGAAATTAAATTAATCCATTGGTTCTTAGCCATTGGACTGATCATCGGCCTTGAACAGACTGAGTTATTAGCAGGTATGCCGCACTATTCACTTCAACCTCCCCAACCTGAAGTGACTAAGGCAGGAATGTGAAATCATTAGATTGTCATTACAGCACAATAGTTCATCGATCTGCGAAAGAAATCTCCCCTCCTGGGTATCGAAACTTCGGTAGTTACATTTGTTGTTATCTGCGCTTAATATAATTTATAATTTTTCGGCAACCTCACTCGCAATGGAGAATTAGTCGATGCAAGTAAAATGACATCCATTAGTCACTGAGACATCGGACCATCGAGGCACGAAGTCAGTCTGTGGAATCGTTTGGTGCACGATGTGGGATGGTGATGACCGAGTGCTTATACACAATAGTTATACACGACACAATACAAAGTAAAGGTCACCAAGATACCGCCCCGGATGAAGTTTGCTCGATTGTCACTATTTTCCTATTGTGTACTGTATGGTAGCCCCTTGATTCGCCGCTTCCTTCTTCCTGAAAATTGTATCATTATTTGTTGTCCAGTGCTTCCGAGCTTTTCACTTCCTATATACACGACGAATTCCCATTTGAAATTTAACCAAATCCTCCATTACTCACATGAAAAGGGCGTAAAATGAAAAGTATCAGAAGTAGCCAATATAGTACACTACCTCGAATGGCTGATGTTGCTTCGGCGATCGATTGGTTTGAACTGAAAAGAGATTGCCGTGCTTCGTGGTTAGTCACAAGCATGAAACCTGGTCCAGACGCACACCAGCAGGACCAATATACGGTCAATCTATGTTGTTTTGCGCTTGGGGGTATCCGCGTTCAAGTTCATTCAACAAACGGAAAAGTTTGACGATCGGACTTCCGACTCGTTACCGTACGTCTTCATTGCAATGTCTTCTGCGTTCATTATCGAAATTGGACTTTTCAAATGGGAAAAAAACAGTTAGGCGCCGGTAGCTCATTGATTCTCTGAATAATGTCAAGATGTGATTTACTGTACTTACACTCGGTATTCCAGAGGTTTTTGGTATGGTTTCGGCCTTGGTCGCCATCATTAGTATGAAGCGCGATTAATACTGCATACATCCATTGACAGCTCGGAATTGGTACTNGGAAGACCGCGACTTTGGTCTGAAGGGGAGCGCTACAAATAAGCCTTGAACTCCAGAAATTTTAATTCTGGCAAAGTAAACACGCAATCAAATGCATTGATTGATATTGTTTTCTCCGCGTAAGTCTGCAATAATCCGAACGGGGTCGGGATGGGGGACTGGATATTGCTAACACACCATCGATATCCCTGTCAACTCTAACAAAGACGGCTTGAAATAAACCGGAAAAAATATGAGGATCGGTGTCAGGAAATTGTATTCCTTCAATCCCCATGTTGTGTGTGTGCGCGCGCAAACAGTAGCGCATTGCTGGTATTCACGTAATAAAAGAATCTACAGGCCCAAATCCGCCAGGTATATTATGAAGAAGCACATGGAGTTATACAGCGCTGTCGTGAAATTCCCTGACTTCGACGTAACAGTTGCACATTTTCTCAGTTGAAAATTTCTCCCCAGCCAATGACCGCCGCACATCAGTCGTGCCTTTCCCTCGCTCTTCATCGCCATTGGAATCGGTGTTGCCCGTAACCCTGGAGGGACTCGGAAACGGCTACACGGTTCAGTTCAGTTCAGTTCTCACAGGATGAATTGTGGCTCTTGCAAATCGAGCGTCCAGATTTCTGTGTTTTCGGCGAGTTTCTTTGGCTTCCAACACTTCGATACACAATTTTTCTGAAAAGCAGAAATATGTGGTGCAGTATCAAATCCCTTGTAGTTAGGTTATTAATGCTACCCATAACCCTGGGGGGGGGGAGNAACCGCTACACGGTAGCCGGATGGTAATCCACGTCACTTGATAAATACTCACTGGCAACCGGCTTCCAATTTAGCAGGTTAGATATTCCTGCCTCAGTTGTCGCTATACATCGAGAAATGAATTGTCGTAATTGTTCATGCACGGTTTGGGTACGCAGTAACACGGATTGATTCGCGAACGGATATCAGAAATCATTCGGGGTCTGCAGCTGATTGTGCAAAGAATATCACTTCACCAAAAAGGGGGAAGTCCATGATCCGTGACACCGAGTATATACACACACCCTCGTGACAAACAACTCACAATACTTCCGACAGTTTGATGTTTTCCTCCAATCAATTTTTATTGAGTACTATATTCTTATAGCACGGGCTTGTATGTGAATGGCCCTTAACCATCCAGAGTTTGTAACAACGTTTGTCCTCGGCTACAACCAGGGGATGATCACATCGAAATTGTGTGCAACGTTGCCGTATGTGTCCCCGTCTTTTAACACTCCCGGGATTTGACATTCCGGAATGTGCATATGGAACGTAGACAGCACACGACGTGCATTAATTTGGAGAACTGAAAGTGTCTGGATAGCTGCACTGTGGGTTTGACTCATGTTTGATCACAGATGGGAGAACTGACCTGTGACCACGTCGGCAGAATCGAGTTGATGATGGGCTGGAGCCTGCATAACTTCATCAAGTTTTTCACAGATCTTCTGCTGCTCTGCAAAAGTCACATCCTTCTTCCTCAACAATTTGCTCTGCAACATCAACTTGTCGATACCGGGAACTAGGCTAACGCACACTTGCTCCTACATACGATCACCATACAGGTGGTCATCGAACTCTGAAGGAAGAAATACATTTCATTTTCCAATATCATACTTGTATATAGATATTGACCAAACTCGTGCAACATCCTGATTTTCATCACATTTGTTCCTCTCAATGCTTCGCTTTTCCAGCCTCATTCACGGGCTCGAATATTATATTGCCCCACATCAGACGCAACATATCTGATATAATACCCACTTATGTCACTGCTTCTGTTAGCCATATGCCATTAAAATGTACAATTTGTCGATTTCAACGATTTTCGCTATTGCATCAGTTGTAAGATAACAAGGTCACAGTAGAAAACGTAACTGTAATTTATTTATTAAAATGACTCATAGACTTTATACAGGTAATGCACTTTCATCTCATCCATGTTCCATTTACTCCTCTTCATTTCTGTGCACTGGAGGCAGTCGCTTTAGGATGGAATCCACCAAGTTGACTGCCAAACAGAATTTGCATGTTTCCTCTAATACACCGCACACCCTTAACACTGTGCACTGAATGAAAAGAGAATAGAAATTTAGAATACATGTGATCAACCTAATGGAAACTCTCATGGGACAGGAATCATCTATTAAAAAGAATGAGCTCCCATGCTGCTTTGCCCAAAATATTTTCTAAATCAGAGCTGTAACTTTCGTAATACTGCAAATTTTATAGTGACACTCAAGGTCGCGCACATTCAAATGGTGATAACAATGAACGAAAAACACAGATGTTGTATATAAAGTCGGGAATAAATACAGTTTACTCATAGCCATCTATATATAACGATGATATTGCAAGCTGAAATGGATTTTCAAAATGAGGGTGATGTTGCACGAGTTTGGTCAACACCTGTATCGATAGGTAAAACTGAAGAAAGTTCATTGCGAACTTTATATCCTACAGTAATGTTTTTAATTCTCTTCTGTCACTGTTTCAATTTTGCGTAACCTTGACTTTCACGATAAAATTTGTACTAAGAAAAACAGCGTGGCGAACAAGCTCGTTTTCAGTTATTCCTAATCATGCCATTACATGTTATTTATGGCTAACAATAAGAACAAAAAAGGAATGGTACATTCAAGTCCTAATGGTTCAGCTTCGGCTCCAATCATGCGTGCATGTGTACCATTGTGAAATTGATCACAGCGTCAAAACTTCAAGTGATTGCTCACGTGTTGGACTGGATGAAGTGGACCAGCGGAGATTAAGTGCTTGCCCAACTTTCTTCTGGGTGCACAAGGGGGTGTGCGTGTGAATACGAATACTTACGGCTTCCGCCCTGGCTAAGATACGATGTTTCATTCGTCGTGATTGCCTACATCGAACCTTGTAAATCGGTCGGAACGCGCTTGCCACATCTATTGAGTGGTTTGACTCAACGAGATGCGAACATACCGCACATGTAATTGTCTGATATGAGGCTCCAGGGGATCGTTTGCAAGTTTTGCCAGAAAGGCGTTGGCGAATAGTGGTCCTTGGTCGTTGATCGATGTTCGGTACGACCATTGACCATCCACCCTGAAACGTCACACTCAACCAATGGCGTTGCTTCTAGTGTGACGCGTTCATGGCACTGTTTACTGATTGAATAATTCTTGAGAGGAAGTCACGCCGATGTAAGTGATCGGAGACAGTGTCATTTTATGCCAAAATATACCAGCGCCTATCTATCGGAGAGGAGCAGAACGTGTTGGAAATGATGAAGTGGCCAGGTGCAACTCAGAGCTCCCTAGCCAAATCTCTAGGAAACTCACGAAAAACTGTCTACAATGTTGTATCCCATCGAACGACTATAGGGGAATTTTTGAACGCTGGAGCATCTGAGGAGAGATGCCACCTGAAAACCAACGAAAAGTTCAAGGCAGTGAATGAGGCAACTTGGACTTGGTTTACTGCTATGAGGGAAAAGCATGGAGAGCTCCCAATGGTGGAGAGCATCGTACGTAAGAAGGCGATTCAGCTAGCACAAATATTGCATCATAATGATTTCAAGGCTTCCAAAGGTTGGTTTCGCTCTTGGTCAGACAGATGTGGTATTCAGTCGTACAAAGTAAGAAACAAGCAACTCATGTGCATTACTTTATAGGTCTGTGAGGAAATTTTGGCAGTACCATATGACAATTTTCTAGCGGGGTTACCGCAGTTTATACATGGATATGCTGACTGTGCTATTTTCAATACGGATGAAACAGCTTTGTATTACAACTAGCACCCATAAAGAACATTATTTCTCAAAGAAAAAACAGTTTCTGAGTCCAAGAAATCCAAAGAGAGGGGCACGTTACTGTTTTGTGAGAGCATGACGAGAAAGGTTATCACCATTGATTGGAAAGTTTGGAACTCCATGATGCCTCCGAGGTATACATTGAAAAAGCCTTCCATGCAGTTATAATTCTTCAAGGATTGCATGGATGACTTCTACATTGTTTCACATTTGGCTGTCCGATGCCAACCGCAAAATGGTTTCTCAAAGGCGCTCAATTTTACTGTTTATAGACAACGCCCCTTGCCATAACCAAGCCGCGGTATTCTCCAATGTCGAATTGGTACGGCTGCCTCCGAACTGTTCTTCAATGTTACAACCAATGGACCAGGACGTGATTTGGTCCTTGAAATGTTCGTTTCCGAAACATTTACTGACTTTCCCCATTATGTGTGTTGTACGTTAGCCTCTTGGTCGGCCGCTTCCCCCTTCCTGAAAATTGTATCAGTGTATATTCAATAAAAGGAATGAAAAATGAAAAAAAGAAATTGCTTCAGTGTTGCTGTAACTCCTGTAGGCTGGCGTCTATGACCTTCGGTTGACTGAACGGGAATTAATTTTTTTCCAAGTAAACTCCCGTTTCATGCCTGCCGGAAAATTTGCGCGAAAATGCGTTTAAAAAATAGTGTGTGTATCTTAGACGTGTCAGACGTTGGCCCAGTGTCATCGCTTGAAATTTTTCATTCCGAATCTCCCACATTGTGCATCGCGCCTGTGGTGATTCTCTAACAACACTTAAGCAGCATCCGATTCATAACTTATTTTCCTCCCATGCCGGCCCGGAAATCACACGACCGATCGGGTTCATTTATCGATCGGTCAGATAGGTCACCGCAACAAGGGACCTGGCGCTTGCCCACCTAACTCGAGCGAGAAACCCCACCGTGTCTACAATCGCGAGTCTTTAGCAGACCCAGTGAACATCGACTGTACAGCAGGCGTGCCTTCACAACACGGATGGATTGCACATGACAACAATGTTATCAAAAGTACAAGACAATGTGAGACGACGGGGAAACCGCACTATCCTACTGTCCATATAGCAAAATGACATCTTAAATAGATACTAGGGTATCTCAAATTAAAAAAGATATGGGTTATGAATCACGCTATGGCATCGCGTATTGAACTAAGTCCGACCAACAAAGGCCATGATGAACGCACCCATCGGTTTGCACTGGTAGCAATAAAAGCGAATGAACGAATGGACTTCTACAGACGCTAATGGTACACATTTTTCACTAGAAAATCATGAATACATTGCACAGCGAACAATCATTTTGAATATGGGAAAGAAGTCGATGATCTGAATACACTCCGTAACAGATATTTCACTCATTTTAGATGTTATTTCCTTCTCACCGTATTCGAACCGGCTCACCTTTGTTTTACTTGAATGGTTTAACACTGATGTGATTATTATAGTTAAAACAGTTGCATATTATGATGGATATCATATAATCAATTATGTGGTTAGCCTAACATTGCTACGAGATGGAAGAATATCTGGAATTATTATGGAAAAATTGGGTCAGAAAAAGTTCCTCCGAAGAAAGGTCGGTAGTTTCGGGATAACTAGACACAGAACTGAAAAAGGGCTGAATACCGCATGCAGCGTACCGATATTAAGCTCAGGGCGTCATAACAGATTTAAATTTCTTCGATATGTAAAGGATACGTAGGACAATAGATCTAAATTCCGTTATAAATAAACAGCTTTTAACTATAAACATTGAGAAGAACTAACGGGATTAACCAACTTTTCATGGACCCGGTTTATTATGTCACAAAACTGTTAACCGATTTTTATACGACTTATTAGCATCTATTACTGTTTACCGTGCTATGTCGCAGTTCCTGGAATTTATCCACTTTTTCGGATTCCTCATGAGTGCAACTTAGCAGGAGATTGACTGTACTGTCATATTTATCGATTTAGTTGAACGCTTACATTTCGAACCACCTCTAGTTCTCCACCGTTTGGAGTGAAGGCGAACACATGTTCGAAAGTTGCCCTGCTCAGATTACTGGGCCTTGTTGATTCCATTAGACTGAACAAGGCGGGGAGTGACGGTTGAGCGTAACGGCCTTCTGTGTCCCACAGACGATCGGCTTCGGTGCTGAACTGTTGAACAGAAAATGCCGGAAAAAAGTTGGCATCATCCAGCATGGCTTTTACCGACATGGAGAGCAATTCATTTGGGGCGACTGAGACCGGTAGGTAGATCGGCGGTGATGAAAGAAGAAGAGAGTGGGTACGGGCTGATTATTCTCAGCAAAAGTCATTTTGATCACCAAATATAGAGAAAAAATATTTGGTGAAGCAGGCCGCCATATTACTGGTTCACCTACCGGATCAGCAATGCCAATCAATACCAGTTCATTTAAATAAATGAAACAGACAATCAGTTTTCTCAGATGGCGAGAGGAAGACGGATTAAAGTATCGCAAACCAAATATGACTGAACGTGATAGCAACAAGCTATTCATTGGCCTAGTTAACTGTACCTTGCATATGGTTATAGGAGTACCTAGACGATGAGGGTAAGTAAGCGTGAATCGCTTTTGCCGGTTTAGAGAGACGATTCGGAGTTTAAAAATCGAAGCACTTGTTTATGCGTTACGTCATCAGCTAAGGCTCATAAAGTATGCAAATGAGGTT